TGGTGGCACCTGAGGAGCCAGTGACAGGGAGGACAGAGCCAGAGCTCAGCCCTGGCCCAGGAGGTCAGGAGGGAGGGGCAGTGAGACAGACCCCTCCTGTCACAGCAGGCCCAGGTCAATGCCAGCACCTCAGCACGCCTCCACCCATGTCACCCGTGGGGGAAGCGAAGCTGACGGCCCTGGGTCCCTGTGGGAAGGCACAGGGGATGAGCGTCTTTTCTCCTTTTGAGCAGCCCCCTTTTTTTAACTTTGAGTCGGGGTCTTACTTCGCTGCTAAGTTCCCCAGGCTGGGCTCGAACTTTCCATCCTCCTGCCTCAGCCTCTCAGCCTCCCAGCGTGCTGGAATCACAGGCCCGTGCCAGCTCTCAGCTGCACTTGGAACCCATTTTACAGAGGAGGAAACTGGGGGTTAGAGGTCCCAGACCTGCCCAGAACAGGCAAGCTAGCAAGAGGAAAAGGTGAGCCTGGGCCACAGTCACATGGGACAACGGAAGCCCCCAGCTGGGGACAGACCCTCCCTCACATGGTGCAGGGTACAGAGAGAACCAGGCTGAGTCAAGGGACCCAGCCCCAGGGCACAGTGACTCAGGCCCTCCTCCTTGGGGACTTCACCCCCTGCTGCTGCAAACCTGGTGAAAAGCTTGGGTGACTCAAGTTTACCTGGCACAGCCTTTGCACTTGAACTGTGACCGTTTGCCTAATGAGCTGCTAATGCCTGGAGCTGGAGGCTGGGTGTCCCCCCAGAGGTATCCGGAACCCCTCCTCGCACCCAGCTCAGAAACCTCCCTGCCATGCCAGCACCTGCTCCTAAATGAGCTAGAAGGGAAGACTCACGTTGGACAAACTCTACGTAGCTGATGTATAAACCGTATTTTTCCCATTGACAATGAGCAACAGAGCTGTGACAAGCACTGGACTACTTTCTCCCAGACATGAAGTCCTGCCCTCATCTGAAAGCATGGGCCTCTTTCAGGACAAGGTCACAGGGGCCTGGGTCTCCCAAAGCACCCAGTGCCACCCGTGGCCTTCATGTGGGTACACTGCTGTGGGCATCCCCGAAGTTTTGTTCTGTCTCTGTCCTTGCAGCCAGGGGACACTGTCAGTCCTACTTTTTTGTTTTGTTTTGGTATTGGGGATCGAACTCAGAACCTTGCACTTTCGAGGCAGGCGGCCACACCACTGAGCTAAATTCCCAACTTTATTTTTTGGCACCAGGGATCAAACTCAGGTCCTTGCGCTTGCACAGCAGGCGGTGAAACCACTGAGCTAAATCCCCGGCCCGCCAACTTTTGTTTTTTTGAGACAGGTTCTCCCTATGTAGCCCTGGTTGGCCAAAAACTCACCCATAATCCTCCTGCCTCAGCCGCCAGAGTCCTGGGATTACACCCTGTGTGTTTCTTCCACGTAGCACCTTGCCCTGGGGCTTTTGAGGAAATTCTCAAACCTGGGACAGCTGAGCTCAGATGCCCCCTGTCTTCCGCATTGTGTCTTACACTCCAACATCTAAAACTGTCCCTCAGCAGGCTCTGCAGCAGATGCCTGCCATTCCAGCACTCAGGAGGCTGAGGCCGGAGGATCTCAAGGTGGATCCCAGCCTAGGCAATTTAGCAAGACCTAGTCTCAAAAATTTTTTTTAAATGGGCCAGAGATGTAGCTCAGCGTGAAGGCCCCAGGTTTGATCCCCAGTATCCCCCCCAGAAAAAGGGGAGCGTGCACTAGCCACCCACAAGGACAGCCAAGATGTATGAGCCAGCCACACCAACATTGGCACACACAGGTGGCCTCCTATGCCCTGGGCAGAGAAGTGCCCCCTGGGAAGGTGCTAAGCAGTTAAATGGCCCTGCCCTGGGGCCCGCCACCCACCTGAAGGCAGGAAGGTCAGTGCCTGAGCGAACCTGGCCACTTGATCATCACTGCAAGGACTAGAAGCCCCGCTGCCTGGCCTCTGAAGTGGCCAGGGGAGGACACTGTCACACGGCGGCTGTAAACCAGCCACACACAGGGACAAGACACACTCCAGACACAGGAGGAAAGCGTGGGGGGATTCTGTTACTGCACAGCCACAGAAAATGCAGACTAAGCAGACAGTGGCTGCCTGTCAGTGGGGTAGAGGTCAGAGCAGACAGAAAATGGCCAAGGGGTCTGAGGGCCAGGTGGTGGCACATGCCTGTGCTCCCATCACTCAGGAGGCTGAGGCAGGTGGATCCCTGCACGTGTGATGCCAACCTGGGCTACACAGTGAGTTCAAGGCCAGCCTGAACTACATAACAAGACTCTGTCTCCAAAACAAAGGCCTCTCTGCCAGGGTGGCTGCCTAGGCAGACAGAAGGTTCAGGCTGGGGACATTAGGCAGACACAGGGCCACCCCGAGCCCTAGAGCCAGAGCCCCCAGCCTAGCTGACAGAACATGGCTCTCAAAGTGCCAGGCCAGGCCCTGTGCCCAGGTATCCGCTTTGGTTTCCTAGTTCTTTCCTAGTTCTGAGAAAGAGGGTGCACCCAGGAGAGAGGCCACCTGAGAGGAAAGGTGACAGCCAGGCACAAGGGCTTGTGACTGCTGTCCTAGCCACTCAGGAGGCTGAGGCAGGAGGATCATTAGAGCTCAGCAGTTTGAGAGCAGCCTGGGCATCACAGCAAAGCTCTCAGAAAGGGGAGGGGGCACTTTGTGCTCACTGCCCATCCGCCATCCTGAACAGGGTGGCACAGACGGCCTGTGGGCCTCTCACGGCACATGGGGGGGGGTGTCAGATTTTAGTGATGGGGACAGGGAGGGACAGGGAGGACCAGCCCCGAGGACCCAGCAGGCTCAGTCCCACCACCACCTCGAGACACCACCGCTCAGCCTGGAGCCTGGCTCCCACGCTGTGGGCTTCGTCCCAGAGATGTGATTTCTATTTTGATTCCAAGCAACATTTAATGAAATGGCTTTCAGACACCACACGGCTGTCTGAGTGATGAAACCCTGTTCTGGATCCTGAGCAGTTCCTGCCGGAACTGTCCACTGGGGACAGGATGCACCCCCACAGGGAGCCACATTTGGCCTGGAGCTGCCTCCATCCACCCTGGGCCGTTTCCCCCCAGGCTCCTGGATCTGACAGAGGAGCTGGTCCTGCCACATCCTGCTCCAAGCCAATGCAGCTCAAACCGCAGGTCTAAACCATGTAGGGAGACAGGAAATCAATGCCCGGGCTTGGGAGCAGCATATTTTGCAAAAAAAAAACCCAAAAGAAAGAGAATGGAAGGGAGGGGGCAGGCTGCCCAGGGTGAGGGCCACGAAGTGCGGGGGCGGGACCCGGGGGCATCCTCTTGTCCCTCCCAAGTCTCCCCACCACTCCACCTGGGCTCCACCCTGGCTTCCTGAGTCCCACAAGTCAGGCATACATGCACCAGGCTGTGGCCACACCACCCACAGCACATGACAGGGACGCTGGGGTCTCTCCCAGGGAACAAACCCCAATCCCCACTTCCTGACCTTGCTGGGCCAAGATGACCTCCTGGCTTCTATGGAAGCCAAGATGCCTTCTCCTCAGAAGGAAGAAGTCCTGCAAGTTCCCAACAGCTGAGGTGTTAAAAATGGAATTCCAGCTGGATGGGGTGGTGCACACCTGTAATCCCTGCACTCTAGGAGGCTGAGGCAGGATGGCAAGTTCAATTCCAGCCTGGGCAATTTAGCAAGTTAATGAGACCTTGTCTCAAAAAGGGCTGTGGGTTCAACCCCTAGTGCCACAGCCAGGGGAGGAGAGGGAGCAGGCACAGCCTGCTGGGTTCAGGAACGCGGGGAGGCGCGCACCCCCTCCTGGCCGCACGAGGAACATCAGCCCCGGAGATCTCTGCCTGGGGCTCTGTGCACCTGAAGGCTGAGCCCAGAGCAGGAGACGCCCAACCCCAGCCCAACCCCACCGTGGAGGGAGGGTAGGGATGGGGTGCGGTTCAGACCAATTTGGCAGAAGGGAGGGAGGGGACAGCAGCTTGATCCCTCAGAGCTGTCACCACAGGAGGCTGAGGCAGGAGGATTGAAAGTTTGAACCCAGGCTTGTGACCTGTCAAAGCCTATGGATCCTGAAACGGCAGTGGGGCGGAAAGCATATGTAGGCTGTGCAGGGACAGGGGACTGAAGGCCACAGGTCTCTCTAGGGTGGAGGAAGAGCCACAGGGGGTGGCTGAACACACTAAAAGCCCTAGGACTGCACACTTTGGGCAGTGGATAGGACTCTATGGGAACTTTGTCTTAACAATGTCAGATTACCTGGGCCTGATGGCACACTTGGGAGGCTGAGGCAGGAGGATCAAGTTCAAGCTCAGCCTGGGCAACTTAAGTGACGTAGTGAGAACTTGTCTCAAAATAAAAATTTTAAAAAGGCCACAGATGCAGCTCAGTGTGGAAGCCTTGGTTTCCATCCCCAGCAGGGCAGAAAAGAAAAAAAGAAAGTGAAACGGCCCTAGCTCCACAAATCTCGTGCGGATGGGCCTTTGAAACTTTCCACGCCTTCCTGGTTGTCTGCACACTTCATATCTCAACAGGCAGGAGAATCTTCCCAAAAGTGATAAAAAGCCAATACTCTTATGAACCACCGTGGAGGTTACCTTTTTCTTCGGGAGGTTGAGGCAGGGTCCCACTACGTAGCCCAGGCTGGCCTCAAACTCGTGGCAATCCTCCTGCCTCAGCCTCCTGAGTGCTGGGATGACAGGTGTGCACCGGCATGCCTGGCCAGAAATTACTTTTTTCCTGAATTGAAATGTAAATGTTACCAAAGAACTGACATAAGAACAGTTTTATTTTAGTCACTTCACACTTGGGCAATAATCAACTTGAAGAGATTTCAAAATGCTTTAGGCTAAAAACTGTTTCCCAAACAGATCAGGGGCGATCTTATTGGGCAGGAAAACAACTGAGCTGGTGGCAGCGGAACCTGGGAGCCGGACCCCAACATTGGAGGTTCGAGCCCCAACACTGGAGGTTCGAGACAAGCATGGCGGGCTGTTCATTCTGTGCCACACAGGTGTGAGATCGTATATCTTGCATTTATTTGCTTTATGTAACAATAACTTAAAAAACAGAAACAGGAAACAAGTCTTGTATTACAGGAGTTCAAATACAATAAATGAAATCTGACCAGGGCTCCAACAACCAACAGGGAACACAAGCAGTGAACTTGGGGGGGGGGGGGGGTCACAAATCAAGTCAGTCTCCCACCCGTTCCCATGAACATCTTGGCTTTCCTCCCATAGAAAGGCAGATTGAAACTCGCCCTGAGCTGTGTCTGTTAGTTTATAGCTCCATCTAAAATTAGTATCTGAATGGAGCAGATATGAACAGCTCACATACCACTAGTTTTCTATTCAGTTGAGAATTTGCCAGGCGACATGTAGTTAGGCAAATGTTAGAACTGCAGCGAGCAATGTCTGGTTAAGATATGTCTCATTAGGATATCTGTCTCATTAAGATAATACTAGGTGACTTTTTACAAAGTATGAAGTAGGTAATATCTGAAAAAGATGCATATAGTAAAAAAAAAAAATCCTAATTGAAGAGACATGGATAAACTATAAATAGATCAGATCTCAACATTACCTACTAGCAAACAAAATCAGAAGAAGCAACACTTTTAGGAGCACCTGTTTCAGGAGAAATCACACCCTCATCTCCTCTGAGCACTGCACACTTGGTGTAGATTTGCCCAGAACTGACTTCAAAAGTAAAAAGGATTTCAATTCATTAAAAAGCTTGCAAATTACATGTTTAGTCAACACAAATTACCTTCTTTCAGTCACTTAGTAAATTTCGCCTTAGCTACCATTTGTAGGAAACAACACTTTTGCACTTCTATCAGGCTTCCCCCTGGACAGTACAGTTTCTGATTCGTGTGTAAAGTGCCCGTCTGATTTACCACCAGTTCAGTAAACTTTAGCCTGGGTGCGAGCAGCGAGGCTACCAGCCTCATCTGCCCGGGACCGTGTTTAATCCCGCTGTCAGCTGCCGGGGTCCCCTCACTGTAGTGCTATGGCAGTGTCACAGCCACCAGTTGCTAGCAAAGCAGGACCCAATCTTCCAAAGAATCCAGGGGGCTGGGCTTAAATGTCCTTCTCTAGATGACACTGCTAGCACCGTTAGTAAACAGGACTGGTTGAGGTAGCTACACAGTTTTACAGGTGCCATTAATGAACAATGTGGACAATGCCTGGTGTAGCTGGTTGATTTACTTTAGCTGATTTTTTTTTTCAATGACAAAGGGAAAAAAATCAGCAAAATAAGAGCATATCTCCAGTTCTTTTAAAAGTCAGCATCCAAAGTAAAAGAATTCTCCATGGGACTGGACATAACTCCCATCCTCTGATATTCGCCTACTCTCTTCTCAAAGAAGTTCGTCTTCCCTTCCAGAGAAATATTCTCCATGAAGTCGAATGGATTTTCCACACGAAAAACCTAAATACAAAAATAAATAAATAAATGGAGGCTGAGGCAGGATCACTGCAAGCTCAAGGCCATCCTGAACTACATAGTGAGACCCTGTCTCAAAAAACCAAGCAATAAGGGCCGAGGATTTACCTCAGTGGTGTCGCGCCTGCCTGGCAAGCGCAAGGTCCTCAGTTCGATCCACAGTACCAAGAAAAAAAAAGCAATACAAAGATACAAATGTATAACACCAACTTCCAGAGAAGCAGAAGGGTCGGGGTGGTGCCTTACCTTGTTGAACCCCAGTTCTAGCATAAGCCTGTCAGCCACGAATTCGATGTACTGCTTCATTAAAGTGCAGTTCATCCCGATGAGCTTCACAGGCAAGGCCTCGGTGAGGAACTCCTACAAAGAGAACACAGCTCTGAGCACTGGAAGCACAAAGCAGAGTCCTCACCAGCGCAGGGGACCGCCTGCCTCGCCCACCTGCTCGATCCTGACGGCGTTGATAATGATCTCCTTCACTCTCTGCTCTGAGGGTTTGTGCACGAGGTGCTTGAACATCAGGCAGGCAAAGTCACAGTGCAAGCCCTGGAAGAATTCAAGGACACTTGCGGGTCATGGTGATGCACACCTGTCATCCCAGCACTCTGGAAGGGTGAGGCAGGAGGATTCCAAGTTTGAGCCCAACCCGGGCAGCTTAGCAAGACCCTGCCTCAAATTGAGGATCTAGCTCAGTGCAAAGGTCTTGGGTTGTCCTCATATTGCAAAACAAACACACAGCCTCATCTGCTGATTCCAGGGATACGAACTCCCACATTCAACGTGGATGTAACACAACCTGAACATCCTGGGTCCAGAAAACACAAACGTGTTCCTACGAGCCGCACGTCAGGGGTGCAGGCTGAGACTCACCTCGTCTCTGCTAATAAGTTCGTTGGAAAAGGTGAGGCCAGGCATTAGTCCCCGTTTCTTGAGCCAGAAGATTGACGCAAAAGAACCGGAAAAGAAGATCCCTTCCACGGCAGCAAAGGCGACCACACGCTCTCCTGTAAGTCAACACCAAAACGTCCCTAGTGAGCAACCGTGTGCTCATGGTAACTCTGCTTACAAAACGAGGCTCTGCTGTATGGAGGCCTGGGTGTCCTTACCATAGGTGGCCTCTTTGTCCCCAATCCAGCGCAAGGCCCAGTCCGCCTTCTTCTTCACGCAGGGCATGGTCTCGATGGCGTTAAAGAGAAACTCCCTGCAGGGTCAGAGAGTTAGCCGTGCCTTCTAAGTAACAGTCCTGGGTGAAGACCAAATTGTTGAGCATTTGCCAATTTTCTCCCCAAAGGCAGGCATCAAACTGCAATTTCCTTTCTACCGACTGGCTTTTCCCGCCAGATTTTAAAAATCTCAACTCTTAGGTGACTTACACTAACACAAACATAGGTGGGTGTTCCTTGCTTCATAGCAAACTCCAAGGTCTACTCATGCTAAAACAGGCCATTATAGTCACGGTACTGATTGGCTTAATTATTTCAAGTCCTGATTAAAGTTCATAGGCCCCACCTTCTTTCAATTTGCAGAACCATAAAATCTTAGCTGTTATGCTGACTGTTAAACAGACAGCCCCACCAAGACACAGGGCGGAGAGAGAGTTAAGACAAGCAAGGTACACATCAACTCTCCATGGTGAATGTAATCGCCATGTACTGCAAACATGGACTAATAAAAAAACCCATCGATCCCCAAGACTACCTACCACTCTATAATAATTAAAACTATAAAGTAAACTCATCAAAGTCCTTCCATTCCACACAAGGCTCTTGGCCTAAAGCTGACTGTGGTGCGTACGCCTGCGCACACAGCCCATTTCTAATCGTGCCTCCGTTCCACTCAATCCCTTCCCCGTTAAACAGGCCTTCAGCTACCCTGCTCCCAGTGCCCCAATATCACCCCACCCTAACCTTCCCTCGCTGTGACACCTGTGCTATGTAACAGCTAAGAAAATGAATTTAAGCCCCTTGCTCAAAGCAGACCTGACCACGGGAGCTAGAAATGTCTGGGGACAGCCTGCTTAGTCATTCTAGAATCCTATTTACTCCTCTTGCACTAAAATAGTTGAAATAAAGTAAGGATTAGTGCCTCTAAGAGGTACAGGATCCCATCTGAGCCTCACCTTTCTTTGGAGTCCTTAATGTAAGTGTCAATAAGGAGACTGTACATTTCAGAATGTATGTTTTCCATGGCAATTTGGAAGCCATAGAAACAGCGGGCTTCTGTAATCTGAACTTCTTGGCTAAATCGCTCCACCTAGTGGTAATAAAACATCCAAGTTAAATGTGAGAAACCACCCGACACAACACAGGGCAGACAATGAATACCAGTAGAATGACTACATTCCTTAGGACTATTAAAAGCTTTGCTCGCCAGGCATGCTGGGGCATGCCTGTAGTCCCAGCACTCTTTCCCTGAGGCAGGAGGGTCGCATGTTCCAGCCCAGCCCTGGCAAGTTAATGACAGGTACAAGACAAATGGGCTAGGGATGTGGCTCAGCGTGAAGGCCCTGAGTACAGTCCCCAGCATCCTCCTTCCCCTCATATACAGGTTTGCTTTCATATCTAGTTAATACAACTCTTTGCAGTTCTGTGTTAAAGCTCAACATTTTATATCATACACTCAATTTACAGATCAAAAAATAGCTATCTCCTATTTTATACGGTTTCTGTTAACATTTCATTGATTCATTCTTAACTCATTTCAAGAATTCATTTACAACCGCTGCCTGCTTCGAGAAAGCACAAGTTCCCGAGTTTGATTCCCGGTACCAAAAAAAAAAAGAATTCATTTACAAGACATATGCAACCCTGGAAAGCCATGAAAGGAGAGTAAATGTGCCAGGGATGGAGCTCAGTGGTGCCACGCCTGCCTGGCAAGCGCAAGGTCCTGAGTTTGATCCCTGGTACCAGGAAAAAAAAAACAAAAGAAAGGAGAGTAAATGTGAGGGCTCCTAGCAGTAAGCTCATGCTGTCCTTTCAGTGGGGCAAAAACATGAGGAAGGAAAACTGCAATATGGATTGTAAAACAGGAAATGCCACGTAATACAAACTCTAGCTTAGACACAGTCATAGCCTGGAAAAATGAAAGACATGAGAAAAGCATACTACCATAGACCTTCGAGTGAATTAGATTTTGGGGGGGGTGAGCTCACCAGATTCTCATTGACTATGCCATCGCTGGCAGCAAAGAAAGCCAGGACATGTGAAATAAAATATCTCTCCTCAGGCTTTAGTGCTTCCCAGTGCTGGACGTCTTTGGAAAGATCCACCTGTGGGATTAGAAGTTCACGATTTTAATATAAAGGAGAGATATTCAAGGAAGGAGCTTACACAAGCACTTCCAAATTTTCTCGTAGGTCTGTCCACCACACTACTGGATCACTGTACTCCTTAAGGCACTATTCCCTTCGCCAACTATACCCGGTCCCACCCTAGGGCAAGCACCCCTAGAGGAACGGGTGTGCACTTCAAACAAGCCATCCTCACCTGGCAGGACAGTCCCTGAACCTGCTTACCTCCTCAGCCGTCCAAAAGGAGGCCTCGGCTTTCTTATACATCTGCCAAATATCATGGTACTCGATAGGAAAGATCACAAAGCGTCGGGGGTTCTCTCTCAGCAGCGGTTCATCCTCCACACTGGGGGCAAGTCCCTTACTCTTCTGTTGTTGGGGAAGAAAATAACCACAAAACCTATGGATGCCGGGCATGGTGGTTTCATGCCTGTAATCCTAGCATTCACTAGGGGGAAGGGGAGGAAGGACGATCTCCAAGAGTTCGAGGCCAGCCTGGGCAACATAGTGAGTTCAAGACCAGCCTGAACCACATAGCGAGACCCTGTCTCAAAAAACAGGAAAAACAAAAACCAAAAATAAAACCATAGAAAATTGCCCTTTTCCCAGGCCAAGCATTCCAACTGTCGCAATCTCGCGTGGCCGCGTGGATGCAGGTGAGCTGTTACAGCACCTCTGCAGGTGGCCTCCGGAGACGCGCACCCCCGGGTGGATGCGATGTCCGGATGGAGAAAGCGGGGCGCCCCAGTGAGGGGACCCTTTGGCGGGAAAGGGGTGCTGGGCAGGCAGCCGGGGAGACAAAGCGCTTTGGCGCCAAGAGCGGGCTCCGGAAGCCCCCTGCCGGCCGGCCCCGCGCGCACGTCACTCACCGGCTCCGCGGGCTCCTGGAAGATCCTCCGCGCGGTCTTGCTGGCCAGGACTCGGGTCCCGCTGAGGGACGGGGGTGTGTTCTCCTTGTCGGCCAGGTTGAGTCCCTTTAGGGGCGACAGCTGCAGCTGCTGCTGGTCCGTAATGGTGGCGAGCGGGGCGCGGACCGAGAGCATGACTCTTCGCAGGGGCAGTGAGGAGCGAGAAGACTGGATCCCGGTTTGAGCTACCCGCGCGCGCGCGCTGCGCGGTTTAAATCCCCGCCGCGCGCCACTAGCCGCGAGAGGGAGTGGCCGGGAACGCGGCGCTTCCCATTGGTCCAACTGGGCCACGTGCAGCGCGGGAGATTCAAGCGCGCGGGCGCACAGGACCCTGCAAGGAAGCAGGCACCCGTCCCGCGGGCCCGCACAAAAGAGTCTGAGTACGTCCCCGCCCCACAGTTCGGAAAGCGTCTTCCAGCCGGGTAGGGCAGAGGGCTTTGCGCACGGGGTTCCTGTGGATGCCTGGCTGTGGGGAGGGGTCGCTGCCACCACTCGGATCGGTGTCCCCGGGTAGGGTGCAAGGGTCCCCAGATCGGGCTTGAGGACCGTGCAGCCCGACGTAGGGACCCAGGTGCCGGGACTTGGACGGGTGACCTGATTTCTTAAGGGTCTGGGGTCCCCACTGGTGACCTGGGACTTGTAACCCGCCCCTTGAGGTTAATAAAGTGCGGAGACAACTGATGACAGTGCAGATTTTTGTTCGGTTTTTTTTTTTATCTTTTTAGTTTTTGGTACCGGAGATGGAACTTGGGTCCTTGCGCTTGCGCAGCAGGCGGCGAAACCACTGAGCTAAATCCCCGGCCCCAGTGCAGTTCTTTGTAAACCTTAAAGCTAAATGACAGGCAGGGCCCTTGGTGCAGGTTTCTGCCCTGTCTCTCGTCAGACTACTGTCCTCCGTCCGGGTCCTGCTTGTTTTAAAAATTGCAAGCTGAACAAATGTGGAAGAGTTTAGAGAATCACTGACTAGCTAGAAGCTCATTTCCGACTCACTGGACGTCAGAATAGCCTGAAGGGGGTTTTCAAACTCTGGAGGAGAGTCCGGGACCGGGACTCTGGGACAGTTTCTCTTTCGACGTGGCTTTCTGATTTGTCAGCCACATTTGCCCTCCGCGGGGCAAAATGCAGGAAATAAATGAAGAGAACGAAACATTAAGGTCGAGGGAAGAAATGATTAACCGGGAAAGATCCCACAACAGCACAAAGCCCCTTCTAGATAAATCGAGGGTGGGGAGGGAAGATGCTTCCTCATCCTGCTCCCTGCCACCGCCTAAAGTGTACATACCCGGGTTCAAAGCCTCACCTTAGCGTTAGAAATCGCCTCTTACCCAGGGACAAGTAACTCTTCGGCCCAGCACCATTTGTTTAAAGCAACTGGCAGACGTGTTTGGTTTCACTTGCATATTTCAGCACCCAAGTCAGGGAGTGGATGTTCTCACTGATAACTCCGTGGCTGATAAAACCATTATCAGATCTGACAATTCCAGTGCAATACCTAACTCACATTCCGGTTTCCTATAATCAATATCCAAAGTGCTGCTTCGGGTAGCTCTGTTTAGCTCCTGCCATACTCACTAACTCTAGGAAGTAGCCAAAAATGATGGCCTCATGTTTAATTATTGCCTGATCACTAAAATAACACCTATCCATCGTAAAAACTCGGAACAGGAAGGGGAGGGGGAGCCAGGCCTGGTGACATAGGCCTGTGAGGCCAGCACTCTGGAAGGCTGAGGCAGGAAGATCCGCAAATTCGAGCCCAGCCTGGGGTGACTTAGTGAGATCCTGTCTCAAAAAAAAAAAAAAAAATTAAAGGGGTTGGGGATGTAGCTCAGTGTGAAGGCCCCGGATTCAATTCCCAGTACCAAAAAAAGAAATAGGCAGGGTGTGAGGCGCCGTCCCCCGGCCCCCTTCGGGGCCAGGCTCTGCGGCTGCTCCCTTCCCTACACCGCCCTGTAGTTTCCTCCCTTCGTTTTCCGCGCCAGTTTTGACATCTACCTCACGATTGGTCCGGAAGACAGCAGACTCTGCCCCTTCCCGGAACTTCCTTGGCAACATCCCAATCCCCGCCCCGCGCTCCGGAGCCCAAACGGCGGGGCCGCAGCCCCTGGAGGGGCCCGCGTTGAACTTGGCCTCGGGCCCGCTGTGAACTTGGCCTCAACCCCGCGCCAACGCACCTGTGTCCCCAACCAGAGCGGGAAACCGAGCCCGGGTGGAGGGAACTTTGCCCAGAGCTGCTCAGCATTCCGTGTGTGCCAGACACTGCTGAGGGTTGGCATCTGAGTAGTGGTTGAAGGCGTGTAATCCCAGCAGTCTGAGAGGCTGAGGCAGGAGGATCACAACTTGGAGGCTACCTAGCCAGACCGTGTCTCAAAATAAAAACAAGAACTAAGGAAGCCGCCCCTGGGTTTGATCCCTAGTACTGCAAAAACGAAAAACTCTGAAAGATAATTTTGTAAAAAGATTTTTTTTTACCTTAGTAAACACACAAAACCTGAAATTTTCACCACTTTATATTTATTTGTTTTCTGAGACAGGCTGTCATGATATTACAGTTCAGGCTGCCTGGAAGTCAGTGATCCTCCTCTCTCAGCCTCCTGAGTGCTGGGACTATAGGCGTGTGCCACCACACCTGGCAATTTCATTCCTTTTTAAGGCTGAGCGGTACTCGTTTATGGATATATTGTTTTCTTTATGAGCTTTTCTTTCTGCTACCCATAGGCCCTTTCCCTTGCAGGGTTTTGGGGTTTCCCAACCACACTACAACTGAGAAGCAAAGGCAACCCTTCCCAATACTGTAAGCCCTGGCACTCTGGGAGGCTGAGACAGGACTATGGAAAGGCCAAGCCCAGGGTGTGCAATTTAGCAACTTAGCAAGACCCTGTCTCAAAATTAAAGAGCAAAAGGGACTGGGGAGAAGCTCAGTGTAAAAGTCCTGGGTTCACTCTCTAGTACTACAGGGAAGAAAATCAAAACTGAGAAGAATCTAAGGCCACAGGTGTGCAGTCCCGGAATTGGCCACTACTGTGGTGCCTTGGCTGGGGTGGCTTTGCCCTGCATGGCTTCTGTTTCCAGACAGGAGCAGGAGGAGGAAGAAGGTAGAGTTAGCTTCCGGAAAGGATGAGACACCTCTCCCGCATGCATTTGAGCAAAACGGTACTCCAGGAAATCAAGCCTGCGAAGACTTGGGTTTGAATTCCCATGTCTAATATATATGGGGTGGTATTCTCTAAACTTGGCTTGTTTATTTATTTATTTTGGTTTGGTTTGTTTTGAGACAGGGTCTCACTGTGTAGCCCAGGCTGGCCTCAAATTCACCACGATCACTACTGCCTCAGCCTCCTGAGTGCTGGGATGACAGGCCCAAGTCACCATGCCCCCCTCGTTTGATTTCCCATTGTCACTCATGTAGGGGCCCTGCTCTCCGGGAACACTGTGCCTCACCGTGCCTGGTGAGTCATTGTTCCAGCACACTCTGTCCCATCGTTCCTGTCTCTTTCCTGTCCCCACCCCACAGGCCTCCAATCCAGGGGACCTCGCTGCTCTTCGCCCTTCACGGGCTGGGGACAAGAGAAAGCAGGGCACTCCCCAGCCACCAGACCCCTGCTCCCCTGGGGTAAGATGAGGGTGTTCCAAGGCCAGCAGGGAGCTGGGGCCTTTCTGAGATCTGATGGCCTGAGCTCTGTGTGGGGACTCAAGGGTGGAAACTGACATTTCCTAATCGTCTTGGTTTGAATGTGTCTGATTATTAGTGGAACTAAGTAGGGACGTGCGGCCATTTATGTAATGTCCACTGCTATTGCTTCTCTGAATTTGCTATTATCTGTCCATTTATGAATTGGATTATTCACCACCTTCTTTCTCTTCTTCTCTTCCCCCCCCCTTCTTCCTCCTCCTTCTTCCTTTTCTTTTGGGTTTTTTTTTTTTTTTGTACCGGAGATCGAACTCGGGTCCTTGTTCCTTTTCTTTTCGACACAGGGTCTGGCTGTGTTGCTAAATTACACAAGGTGATCTTGAACTTGTGATCCTCCTGCCTCAGCCTCACAATGTGCTGGGATTGTAGGCATGGCCACTACAAAGGGCTTTATTACCTTCTTATTTACTTGTAGACCCCCATATATTTTGGATGGCATATTTTTCATATCTAAATAAATGAACAAACCATATATACATGCATACATACACACACGCACACATATATATGCTGGTTATACTTTCTTTGTATTTCACTTGTGTTTTTTCTTTTTTTTAAGATAATCTTTATTTTGAAATAGTCTTAAAGTACCAGAAGTTGCAAAAATAGTAGAGTTCCTATCTACCCTTTACTGTGGTTCCCTCAGTATCTTACACAATCAAAGTACATTGTCAAAATCAGGAAACTGCCATTGATGCAAAAGTCTTAACTGTATTACAAACCCTCCTCTTTCTTAGAAACTCGAATCTTGGAATTATTTTAGATCTTCAGAGTGACTCTTTTTTGAGACAGGGTCTCAAATTGTAGTTCAGGCTGGCCTTGAATTCATTATGTGGCCCAGGCTGGCCTTGAACTCATGGCAATTCTCCTGTATCAGCCTCCAGAGTGCTTGGATTACAGGTATGTGCTACCATGTTGCTTTTTTATAGAAGTCAATTAGGTTAAGTTTGTTGAGTATTCTCAGTCAGTGAAGACTTGAATTAAAATCTTTTGCTATGCCGGGCGTGGTGGTGCACAACTGTAATCCCAGCACTCAGGAGGCTGAGGCAGGAGGATCACCTCGAGTTTGAGGCCAGCCTGGGCTACATAGTGAGTTCAGGGCCAGCCTGAACTACAAAGTGAGACCCTGCCTCAAAAAACAAAACAAAGGGCTGGGGATTTAGCTCAGTGGCATCGAGCCTGCCTGGCAAGTGCAAGGTCCTGAGTTGGATCCCTGTTACCAAAAAAACCCCAAAAAATAAAAAAAATAAAATCTTTTGCTATGATCATAAATTTCTCTATTTTCTTTTTTAATTTTGTCAATTCTTGCTTCATAAATTTCTAGATATGAGCCAGGCCTGGTGGCACACGGTGTAATCCCAGCCTTCTGAAGGGAGATTAGGGCGTGGCCAACTGGGCACGTGGGCGTGGCCTGTCATCCAGGACCCAAGTACCAGTGCAAAAACATCTGGGACACAAGCACAAGTGCAAAAACACTTGTGCCGAAGCCCCACACCAGGGGCCAATCAGAAAGTACTATCTTCAATTCTGGTGCACAATCAAGCAGATTTGTGATAGGGCGGCCTAGATCTGATCCGCCTGAAGACTAGGGATACAAAAAATGGCCGCCATTCACCTCCTGGTCACTGTGAGGTCACAGTGGCCGCTACCACTCTGCAGAGCGTACTTCTTTCCAACCGCCCATAAATGTAAAACCTTGTTCCCTGTTTTACGTATCTTAACCAATTCTTTGTTCAGGACACCAAAAATCTGGGGGGAAAAAAGCCATGGAAAAAGTCTGCGGAACCCCCGAGGCCAGTAACACTCTGAGAGGCTGAGGCAGGAGGTGTGCAAGTATGAGCCCAGGCTGGCCAACTTAGCAACATAGCAAGAGTGTCTCAAAATAAAAATTAAAAAGGGACGGGGATGTGTGAAGGCCCTGGGTTCAATCCCCAGTGCCGCAAAATAAATGCATTTTGAATTTTGTGTATGGTATATTCAGATTTACAGTTGATATACCCTTCTGAACAGTCAACCCATTCATCATTTTGAAATGTCTAACGGTATTTCCTGGTTAATTTGATATTAATACACTGTATCTACCATTTAGATTTCATAGCATTTTTAAATAAATGCTTATCTTTAAAATATA